ATGCATAAAGATAGATACAAAAATAGAAAACACAAACAATTAGGCACTGAAGAGGTTTCAGAGATCAGAACAACTGAAATGTATTGTCAGAAGTAGATTAGTGTAACACACTCTAATTAAAATACAATTTTATAATCTGATTTATCCTGAAGACAAATAGGGAAAGGTATAGTATACTGGTAAGTTCTCATTAATATATTTATGTCTGATTATGTTTCCGTAATTTTTAGTGTAGCACATCAAGCAGTTCTTTGCACAAACACTGCAAGTTTTTTTAAAAAAATAAATAAATTTACCTGAAGTAATCTCATTCATGTAAAATGTTGAATCATTTGAACTTAATTCAAGTCCTTCATCTTTATTTTAAGAAAAAAGCAAGGTGCACAATGTTTCATAGAAACACCAGATATTTCAGAAGAGTGATAAAATCTTGAGATGTGAAGTAATTGCTGTATAATATTTTGTAATTTAAAATATTTACGTTCTTGAATAGAGTTGGGTCTTCTTGTGTTCTGCAGGAAGGAAGGACATTATGCAGAATTTAACCTATCATTGAAATTTATCCATAATTCAGGTTCATTTGAGAAACCCTCATGGGCTTTAATTGAGTAAACAAGAACTGCAGTGATCAATGCTGAGTTACATAATCAGCCACATTTTCTCAGTTGGATTGCTGTGGACTAGTAGTTGTGTGGTTAAGTAATTTGTTGCTTTTCCTAAACTGGTAATAAAGTACGTTTCTATCCACAAATGCACTGGGGAAGATATTGCAGATTTAATTAATTATAGTAATTAATTGAGATAGGTTGCTTAAACTTGTAAGGTGATACAGTTTTATGTTCAATATGATTCTTAAGGCTTTCAACTGTGTTGTCTGGAGATATCGAAATGGAGGTCAGTGAAATGGAGACTAATCAGCAAGTCGATGTTGATGCAGTAAACTAGAGTTTATTGTAAAAGAATCATTTAGTAAAACAGCTGTTTGGTTTTTTTTTCAGAATGTGATAGCACAGTCCTAGCTTTTAATGTAAGTAGAAATGCTTTCTGAAGTTGATGAAAGCTGGGAACATTAACCCTTTAAAAATCTGAGTCTGGTTTAATGCCTTTTATTTGAAACTCCCGTATAAACCAGCGTCTGGACTACCTACTGGTAGCTGTAGGAAGACTAAAGGTTTGGTATTTATGCTGTAGTATTCCTTCCACTCCTTATCCCTTTGAAGAGTTCCTCCATGTTTTTCTTTTTATTGGGTCTTGAGGCTTGTTTGGGGAAAAAACAGGTGTCTGTAAGAGGGGGAGGGCAAATTGAAAGGCTGTTTTGTCTTTGGTGCAGATTTGATTCAGCTTGGCTCCTTGCTTGATGATTCAGCTGCTATTATTGTAAAGCTTCCTGGTATCTGCAAAAACCTGATAAATTTAGAATTGCATACCTGAAGTATGCGTAACATTGATCTGTGGTTCCAGTAAATATTCTTGAAGTAGAATTTAGGGAGGTAACATTTCTTTTTGGAATATTCTATATTGACCCACGACAACCTTTTTGTGAAGTGTCAGATTTGTTTGTTTATAATGCAGAGACTTTGGACTAGATTCCAGCTTTTGAGTGGGCAGTTTCTACTTACGGTCACCATCCATTAGCTGACATCAATCAGTTTAATAATAGTCAGTTGCAGTTTTAATAAAGCTTTTTACAAAAATTGACTGCTCAGCTGCTAAGAGGTGTGGGGAGTTACTAGACAAACAGCAATATGTATTTGCCTTGAAATATTGTTGAGAACATACTTTGCTATCAAGATAGAAGATAGATATTATAGGATGTGCTTTTTTTTTTTTAATTGCCTTTCGACGATCCTTAGTTCATGCAGTTTTCGCATTTCTTATAAAGGAGCCAGCCAAATTAATACATGGATACATCTATTTTGAAATTCCAGGCTTGAATTTTATTGTAACTATTTGGTTCATTTTCTCCTCTGTATAGTACTGCCTGGGTTTTGTGCCCCCCCCCCCTTCAAGATATTGCTTGGTTTGGCTTGTATCTCAGTGCATTAATTTGATTTCCTTTGTAGCAGTGTGGAATAGTTTCTGCTTGTGTTCCTGGATAAAAAGAAAACTCTTTGCTTAATTGAGGCCCAGAGCTCAAACATGGATGCTTCTGGAGAGAAGTTGAAAGGACCACGAGTAAATTTGTGACTTGCCTCTAGAGGCCTCTCTGAAAAGGCCATTCCTTTCTGCTTATTAATTGATGTTGCCCTTATGTTTTGCTCATTTAGCTCAGTGTCGTTATTGAGTAGTATAAGGTGATTTTTGTGACAGTGGACTTTGATTCAGTGGTTTATTGTTTATAGAGATGAAAAACTGTGAAGCTCATGTGTTTGCTTAATATATTTTCTTTATCTGTTAATTGAGAACTCTGTTCTACAGTACACACGTGACTTATAGAGAACTTAAGAGGCATCGTCAGTATGTCCAAATCAATCCAAAGAATCAATGTTTATGTGAGAGTTTATTATAGTGTTTTTATTTTGAATACAAATCTACAAATCATCTGTCGATATTTATTTTTTTAGGCTTCCAACTTTGGTCATTCATAAGCCAGTTTTCAAAAAATGCTTTGGTACTTCTTGAAAGTACTATTTTTTTTGTCCTTCACACTCTCTGCTTTATTCTAAAAAAGTGCATAATATAATTGCTGACCAAAAAATGGCAGTGAACAAAATGATGTTGTGAAGCTGTCTCAGTCTTCCAGAGAGTGGGAATGTACTACTATTTTTTTTATAATTCCGCTAAATGTAGCCTAATTGCCCACTAAATTAGGATTTCCATTCCTCATCTTGGAGATCGTTAATGCATCCATGAGTAGTTTCGTAGATGTCAATAATAGTGGAGGAGCTGGACTAATGTAAAGGTCCGCAGGGTAGTGAGGGTAGATAATGGGTTTTAATTGTTTTCTTACACGGGATTTACTCCGTTCAGGTTGTTCTGTGTATGTTCTATGCATGTTCCTCATACAGGGAGGAAACAAATTCCTTCTTCCCTTGAGGGGCTGTGAGATAGTCCTACAAAGCTGTCTTTGCACAGAGCATGCTGTTTCTAGAATCAGATGAAGAGGAGGAATTGAGGAAAGGAAGAGTTTTTGGCACTTGGTCAGTGATTAAATGCTTCTGGTAAAGCATGAGGGGAGAACAGCATGTCAAACGTACTCACATCTTTCCATTCCAATTGCCTATTAGTATCAGAGAATTAGGTTTGACCAGTAGAGTCCTTTTTTGTTTGAACAAAATACTTGGAAAGCCATCCTCTCTGGTTACATGTTCGGAAACATAAGTAATGAGGTGTCTGTAATGCTAATGAAACCTTAGCAGCAAATGAGAGCTTTGTGGACTAAAGAGCCTAAGTAGGACAGCAAAGGCTTTGTTCTACTGTTCACTGAAGGAAGTCAGTTCTTAATGGTATTGGATGTTGGCTATATGCCAAAAGCACCTTTTGGAAACTTCTTTTGGATGCCAGGTTAACGTTGTCAGAGTAATTGCATAAAAAAGTGGAATGTAAAAAAAAATGCTTCCTGAGATTGATGATGTATTTTTATGCATACATGCAACCGTGGTGTGACACTGAAGTATGGTAACCGTCTCCCTCTTCTCACACACAAACAGCTTTTCTAAAAACAGTAGCAGGAAAGTCACTTCATTTGACAAAAGATATTTAATGTGGAAACGTCCAGTTGGTGTAAAGTGGGTGCATCAGAACAATATGAGATACAGATCACAGTTTCCCAAATACATTAAAATCTTGTCTTTAGTGCATCTCCTGTCTCTTGGCTGTTTATATGGTTCTCTGGTGAAACAGATCAGGGAAAGTGGTTGCGTTTTTGGTGGATAGAGCAATGCAGAGGCAGGAGCACACTGCTGGTAGTGGAATAGGATGGGTCCTTTTGGTTGGTAGCGATCGCATGCCGTTGGATCGATGTGTTTAAGGCACTAACAGCCATGGTTGTTAGTCCATGCTGTAGGATACTGAGCGCCGAAAGGCAAGATTTGAGAGCAACCTTAATCCCATTACATTCTTTTTTCTTGTTCTTGTCGGTTGTATGTAGTTGTGTTGAAGTGAAGACATTTTCCTCAAGTCTTAAGCTCTGCAGCATTTTATGGGATTTCTCGATTTAACTTCAGATCATCCTACTGCATGTTGAAATTGAACTTAAATTGCTAATATTAAAGGTCCACATGATTTGTTAGGTTCAGGCAAGTTACTGAATCTGCAAGACACAGCTTCTGATAAACACCTCTCATTATTTTTTTTTGTGTGTGTAAGTTAAATAAACTTTGCCTTTAAGTGCTTTCTTTAGCTTCTTTTTCTTTCTTTTTCCTTTTCTGCTTTGTATTTTCTTAATTTACCGTGAAGTGTATTTGGATACAGCACATACAGGACACAACCTTTGATGTTGCAGTTGCTTGTCTCTTTGGATTACCAAGTCATAAGCTGAAAATTTTCCATTTTTGCTCTGTGGCAAATTTTTTAGCATAAAATACAAGTACGAGCGAGACTAAAAATACTTGCTAGGCTGTATTTTGTACCTTCATTCATTCCTGTCTGAGCCCTAACCCCGCCATAGTTACACTTGGTTTTTGGATTTTCAACTTGTCCTAATTAGTGTATCCTCCACCTGTTGATCAGTACAGAGTACAGTGAAAGATAAGCTTTGAAGATAATTTAATGTATTAAAAATTCCCCAACTTTTTTTGAAAGTGTGGTTTATTTTTGACTGTTTCTCTTTGGTTTGTGCCTTTGCTGTGCTGTAACTTTCTTAATGGCTAAGGACAGGTTTGCTTTCTTTGCAATCTCTTGCTAGAGCTGATGGTGAGCTGTGTATATAGATTTGCTTTAATAAATGTTTTTCATATGCAGACTACACCCAACTTTGTCACGCAGCTGTAATTTGTATTATTTTTCTTTCAGTGGGTAAATGCAAGAGTTGGAAGTAATTTTTTATTTTTTTTTTATCCAATGAAATTACAACTTCTTGTGTTTTAAAACTGCCAAACGCATCTCACTTGTTGAACAGTCTCTTACTAACTAGTACTGATCTTTGGTTATGTCTTCGTTACCTAAGTGGAAAAGATCCACTTTTGAATGAAAAGATTTTTAGGGGGAAAAAAAGACATATTTGCATTATGAAAGTAATCAAGGACTGCATACAACTTAAAATGCAAATATTTAGAGCTGTTTTTACAGAAAGCGGTAGATCTGTGCCTGCACATACAGCTTACTGTTCTGGTGTATGGCTGATGTGTATATATATCTATATATGCACACACAGACATGTGACTGATTTATAACTTAAATAACTTCTATTCAAGTAGTAAGCGTTCCGTTACAGCACAACTCATAAATTAATTATATGTTGTTTCTGGTGCTGGTGTGATTCTTAACTAATTCTGGGTATTTTGTTTCCTTTTGTTTTTAAAGGATCAGTTTGATAACTTGGACAAGCATACGCAGTGGGGCATTGACTTCTTGGAGAAATATGCAAAATTTGTAAAAGAAAGGATAGAAATTGAGCAAAACTATGCAAAACAACTGAGGTAAGGATTTTTTTTCTTTTTCTTTTTAAAAGAATCTTAATAGTTACTTAAAACCATTGTATCAGATGATGGGAAGGTATGTAATGTTGTGATTAATGGCCATTTTCATTTACAGAATTAATTAGATCACTAGTTCTTTTCCTGACAGATAACTTTTTCTTTACCAGAAAATTACCTTTGAGCGTGCGCTTGCGTGCTTGTTTTTGCTTTCTTTCCTCCCTCTCTTCCCACCCACCCTTCAAATCTTTGAACTAAAAAGGTTTTAAGACTTAAAATTTAAGATTCAAAATTAAACAAAACCATAGTAATATTTTTTTCCACTGACTATCAGCACGTTTGTTGCAAATTACATTACCCATATCTACATTTTTGTGTGTGTTCAACCAGCTTCAAGCCTCTGCTACTAACTCATTTCTCATGTTGAATTGGTAAGAGCTGCGCTACACTGTGTTAAGAAATCTTACTGAAATCATTGAGCAGAGCTTGAGGAGGCAGTATCCTTAAAGTGTGCCCTTTCTGTAGCTGGTCTTGTCCCTTTGGGTGAGACTGGAACCCAACCACCCTTTGTCTTACCTTTCCTGTTTACTTTTTATTGGTGCCAAGTGAAGCATCTGTTAGGTCCACTAGGAATTTCTCCTCAGGGATCGTACAAAGATCATACAAGAAGAGTAGCAGCAGTGAGATGTCAGAGAAGCATGCTCTTCAGAATAAAGTCGGATTGATTTATACTAAAAGGTGCACACAGTGCTTGAAGAACAAGATTTAAAATAAGACACTTCTGTGAGCTTGGCCTTCACCATAATCTTTGCTGTCTTGAATTTCTTTGGGGATTCAGCTGAAGCTGCTGCCCAGCCCTTGTCAGGCTGAAACTGATAGCAGCTTCTCTCCTGTGGTGTCTTCCATCGTCTTGTCACTTGCCACCAGATACAGAACCGAGGAATCCTTCTTCGTAAATGCAGTAATGAGATTCACAGCTGAGGGTATGGATGTTCTCTGTCTAGGCTGCTCATTTCCTTTTTTATTTCTTTATCAGCTGCTTTTGATCCAGTTGTGTATATTCACCTAACATAATACCCCATTACTTTACTGAAGGAATTTTTTTCTTAAAAGGAAGGAAATAAATACTACTTTTCCAAAGCTGGCATAGAAGAACTTCAGTAGGTAAAGGAAAGTTTGAAGCATGCACAGCACCAGTTCACAGCCCAGTTCTGATTTGTTTTCAATTGTCTGTTTAAAAATGGAAATGTGTTTTATTTGCACAGATCTATCCCGACCTTTTCCTTAAATCGTATGAACAAATGCCATTTTGCTTAATTTTATTTAAAGGTTCATTCCACAGCTAGCAAGATGAGACACCACATTATTGCTTCAGGATTTGAATAAAAAATAGGAAATCTTCTCTGTTCAGCATTTTACCCTTTTGGGTAAAACTTTTTCTCAAAGTGTCTTTCAAAAATGAAAGAGTTATGTCAAGTACCTCTTCTGTCAGATGACTGGACTGACTGTCCATGTGGAGTAAGTATGACAGTTTTACAGGTCTTGCTGCCCACACGGCGTACGGTGCATGTGTGCACTTCTGCCTGCTGCCAACGAGGGTCTGGACAGCACACACACGAGAGGGTGACTGATTTTCTGCCAGTAGACCAGTTCATAAAGCTACTCTTCAGTATTCTTGCCTGTGTATTCCTTGGAGGAGAATTGATTATTAGTAGTGAACTGTCTTGTGATAACAACTTGATTTCAGCCATCATTGCTCTTGAGGACACTCACTGTTTTTAACCATGTGAAACACCCGTGAGGCCCTACGGGAGATTGAGATCAAGCAAAATTTTCAGAAGAGTTAGCCACCCTGCAGTTTGCTCCTGAGACGTTTTGAGAGAGAAGGTCTTGGGGGTGGACTATGGTTCTGGTGAATTTTAATGCTGGCAGCATATGGCCTGTGAGATAAATGTTAATATCTCTGATAGAAATTTCTAGTTTAACATTGTTTTTCCTTTTGTAACAAAATACAATCTGAAAAATATAGTGTTGAGAATCTCTTCATAGTAAACTTTATTGCTGAGATTTATGCCCTTTTTTAGTAGATACATAAAAAGTACGGTGAGTGGTTACCTCTTGGTAGTTCTTTGACTCTGTTAGTACTTGGATGGGAGACCAAGGAAAAACAAGTTTAATGAGGGAGATAATGCTAGTGATGTATGGTGATATTTTTTTTCTGTCTTGGTTTCAGTGTGGGCCATGAACATTCTGTTGAGATTGTTGATGCATCTTATTCTCTCAGACTTAAATCCAAGGATGAAAACTTGAGTGAATTTTTCATAACAGTTTTCACAAATTGGAGTCTGTGTCCTGGCAGAAATTCATGTTCACTTTATGTATACCCTTGTATTTTGAAGAATTTTTTTTGTATACTGACGCAACGTGGTGATGAGACTTTCGCAGGTGCAACAGCTGTTTTGAGTCTTTTAGGAGATGACAAGTGATGCATGTACAGCTTGTGAGGAACTGTCTGAGTGAACTCACTATATTGTTACTGTATGCGGTTATTGCAGGTTATGATCGCTGAGTAATTCCAGAAATGATAACTCGTGAGAATCCTGTCCAAATACTGGTTTTAGGTTGCAAGTCATTCTTCTTTGATAGGTAGTTCTTGAAACTAAGAAGGAATCCTCAAATGTCTACGAAGAAAAAAAAAACTGTTAAGAGAGCTTGTCTTCTCTGTGTGTGCAATATATTTCGTTCTGAAAAAAAGCAACTGTAATTTCTTTTTTTTTGACCTAACTTGAAGGGAAAATCTTAAGCTTTGTGTAGCTTAGGTCTCAACTAACCTATTGTGGTACCCCAAGGATTGTGAAGGTTATTACAAGCTGTTACTGAGTTACAAGGATGTGAATCAGGACAAACATTGCAATATACATTGTAGATGAACAGGTTTCCTTTTAATTATATGCCTGTTTAATTTGTTTCTATTATATAATTTGACCAAAAAAAATAGATTCAGTATGTGCCGAATTACTGGGCTCTTGGCTGAATTTTGTAATTGAATTCTCAGATGCTGTTTTTGATCAGCATTGTTGCTTAAAAGGGGCGAGGTGAATGTCCATTTTGTTTACTTCCACATCACACACAAAATAATTCTGGAGGTTCACTCCCTTCTTGTTCTGTCTGAAGCATTATGACACTTGAGAAGACAGAGGTGTTCTAATTCCTGTGATGTTAGGTAGTAATACAAGTTGCACCTGCAGTTATAGATGAAACTACCATGCAGAATAAGATTTCTGAATTTGGTCAACTTTTCTATCGTCAGTTTAAAGAAAATAGCGATGATTGTTCTTGAACTATTTGAGTGTTTCCCTTTAAAATTGTACATTGTGGTTTCTGGAGATGTATAGTTAATCTAAGCAAATGTTTTTCTACGTACTATTGTATATAAGTGGTTTTTTTTCTAACTAACAATATTAATACATGCATATGTCTAGTCAAATTGAGACTAGTTACCAAATTTTGGGATCTTGGAAACATTTAAAATGGGTGTACGCTCAGATGTGAAGCTGGGGACACAGATTATCACCATATGTTTCCATTTCTCAAATATCTCTTCCTTTGATTGCAGCTGAGAATTTACGCTGTTGATTATTATCAAAATATGGATGTGGCAGGTTTTTTTGTAGTGGTGGTTCTGCAAGCCAAAGCATGAAGTCTTAGTGGTTCCAAGGATATTCAGCTTTGTAAACTCAAATTCCATGTTACAATTTTTTAAGATTCATCTCTTCAGTTTAAACTTTTTCTGATAACATGTTACTAAATACAGTTCATTCTCATTGTTTTCACCCAGTCCATAATATTCATATGCAATCACTGAAGCCATCAGAACCCTATTTGAAAGTATTACTTTACATAGAAATATGAAAAGCCTTTAACTACTTATAGCATTTCTAGTAACTTATGAAAGCAGACTGCAAAGTTTGTTCCTGGGCTAGTTTGCAATGTGGTGTAGAGGCTGTAGAGGTTTAGTATAAGCAGATGCCACAGTACCTGAGCTGTTACCTTAATACAAATGCTACCATGCTGCTGCTGCTGCTCTTCTTTACGTTCTGTATTAATTGATTGAGGAAAACTTAGTTTTGAGTCGATAAACACAATTTTTGCACAAGTGTCTTTAAAATTTTATGTAGGTGTTTTATGTACGTGGCTATAAATAATTTTAAATTATTAACTAGGATGCTTTTTGAAACTTCTATGTGAGTGACGTACTTCTTTTGAAGATCAGTACTATAGTCCAGGCTGGTATCTCACTGGTGTTGACCTGAGACTAATTTATACTGAGAAGAGAGGTCGATAAAATTACAGGAGCAACGTGTGCTTGGTCCTGTATGAAATCTCCTTCCAGATGGCTGTCAGACAGCGTGTGGTAGAAGTCATCTAAATTGTACTTCCAGAGAGGATTAAAGTGTCATCAATCTACACTTTTCTAAGGAAGTATAGAGGAATTTATCCTGTAGATTTGATTCAGTTCTGATGGTCTGCAATTACGTCTGCAGTTTTCTTCTGAACTAGTCCAGATCCATATTGGGATCCTGAAGATTAGACGCGCATTTAGATAAAAATGTTAAAGAATGTTATGCCCCCTTGAAGTGTCAACTGGCTCCTCTTTGAAAGAATGCTTCACTCTTTGGATCCACACTCATACTAGCTGCTTGTCAACCTGTGTTTTTTCAAAAATTTAAATCTAATTTTTCTGTTTTTTCTAAGTGTTGGTATTCACTTTTTGGAAAAGCCATTTAGGCTTCATTGTTCGTGTGAGCACTGGCTTTTACTTTGAACTTTAAGTTCTGCATTTGCTTGTTATTTCGTCTTTACTGACTTTGTAGTACCTTGTGCTGTTATTGAATCTTAAATCCTGATCACACAGTGTCTCAAAACTGTATGTTCCTGTGATCCTAAGGTAGACAAGATTGACTAATGAAACTGACTTTTATTAGAAGAAAGGATTATATAATATTTTTGTCTTCCTAGAAATAGTAAACAGTTGCATTAAAAAATGAAATTAAAACAAAAGTCAGCACAATAGTAAATAATATATATTTCTGACCCTTCTCTCCTGCCACTTTAAACTGTATGATTTTAGTAAGTGATGTCTCTTCTCATTTTTAACACCTCTGAAAATCTTCCCTTGCAAAGGCTGGTGTGTGGTTGCTTAGCTACAGCATTGTATGCTTGTTATGCATTTCACCTTCTGAATAATAAGGTAAATTTTAGGAGTTTCCCCATTCATCGATAAGCACTGAGGAGCAAAGCATAAATGCAAAGGAAATGAAAACATGGGAAAGTCACTTAGCAAAGAAGATTAATCTTTTTTTTTTTCTTTTACTTGAGTTTATGCATTTTCCAAGCAAAATGCCTGCATTTAATCCCTACCAAGTAGAATGTCACAACAGGCAGTGGATTCTGGGGATAGTGAAAAGAGATTCTTGTTTTAACTTCGATGAGTAAGTTCTTATAAAATTTGTAGGTTTTTTTTTTTTTTTAAAAGTCAGTGTTTATTCTGGTTTTTAAGTACATGCTGATATTAAAAGGACTTGACTATCTTATCAGGGTTGTTCTTTCTGGATGTAGTCTCTGAGGGTATGGAAAGAGACAAAGGGTCTAAGCTTGCTGTTTCCACACTGACTCCCTGCTCATATTTTGGTATATACTTCATGACTGAACATAGTTTCACTACTTGTACCCTTGTACCATAGAGATAATACGACTTCCAAATAAATTGATTTGAGAAGCTGCACAAGGTTATTTTAGATGAAAGCACCCTTGTTTTAATGATAAGGTAGTTGATAGTTGGTAACAACTGAAGTTACACATGGACAGTGGTGATGAGATACAAAACATGCATGCAAGATTTTTTTTCATAGAATCTTCTCTTATTCCTCCTTGTTTTTTCTGTAGCTTTGGGGGTGTAGATTGCTTTATATAGTCCACCTTGCTGCCTTTGGGGAAACTGGTTTGAGCGATATTAATAATTAGTCTAAGAAGTCAACAGCAAGTTGTCTCAATTACTAGTGGACAGATAGATGGAAGAAATATATCCAGAGGCCAATTAAAAGACAACTGTTAAAGCAGCTCTGCTAGGTTTGCATTGCTTTATACTTAATTTCATCTTTGGGTGGATGAGTAAAATAGTTTCATTACAAAGTATCATCCCTTTACACAATACAGAAAGTTTGAATGAAGTCTATTTCGTACTAGTTAAAAAACAGAGGCATTGTTTGCATAACCCAGGCCCACCTCACCAACACTCCTCCTGAAGTCTTCCCTGACAAGCTCAAGGCAAACACTGTCTCTTGAACAAAATGATTCGGTTGTGTGCACTTGGTTTGTTGTTCGGTGGGTTTTTTTTTCCTTGAATGGAAGGTATGATTATTTAGAGATGTATGTGGGGAACAAAATTGCCAGCATGGTGTTGCTTCTATTTGTGGCTTGTAAAGCAAATAATTGACATGCATTATTTTCTGCTGAGATGTTAATTCACACTTTGAAATGTTACTTCAATAGTTTAAATGAGAGATGTCACAACACATCTGGTCCACAGTTTAAATATTACTAGCAAGATTTTGATGAAGTAGTTCTAATGTTTGGAAAATAGGAGAATTTCTGTGAGGGTGGGCATTGGTATTTAAATACTAGTCTATTTAATTTGAGTTGTAGAACTCTCTTTAACTGTTTGCTGCTTTTAAAACACAGCAACTGAGATGTTTTGCTTTTTTTACCTCAAAAAGCACAAAGGTTGAGTGTAAACAATTTGAGAAAAGTCTTACCTGTTTTTCTTTTGTACAAAAAAAGATTCTTTATTTGCTGTAAAATGACAAACACAGGGAAAGGAACTGTAGTAGTTTTTCTGTTTCATGGAAAAACCTGACAATTTTGAAAATCACTAGAATAAAAAATGCGACCAATTGAAAGTATCAACATCCAGCTACTAAAAATTAGAAGGAAATTATGGATTTATTTTTTTTTCCAAGACTGACACCATGTATCCTTTTGAATTTCAAGAATTTTAAGAGACGTCATTGCTGCCAGAAAAACAATACTGAAAGTCAATGCAGAATGTTACGCTGGAAAAACGTGTACTCAGAAGTTTAAAACAAAGGTACAGGAAGATAAGAATTTGAAAAATCACTGGACATTCTTTCCTGTTATCCCTCCTGTCTGTAAATTGTGTGGCTTCATTTCACGTTCATCACAGGATTTGGGATATTTGTAGCAATATATGTGACTGCAAATATTTTGCAGTTGTTTGTGTAAGCAGTGTATGTGTGTGTTATTTATGCTCTAGGGTAGAGTAGGTGATGTGGTTTGTATATTTCTTAAGGCGCTGTTCCTGCATTGTATGATAAGCAAATGCGTTCTATCAGTGTTCTCAGAAATTGGACTGTGACACTGTGTAAAGTGCTGGTCCCATGGACTGTCTTTTAGAATATCTTGGTTTCTAAAAATCTGATATTTACAATACTGGTGGTAGGGCAAAATGTAACGACTTTGCTGGAAAGAGATGTTGCTGCTTCCATTCTGGAAATATCCATATTGAAGATCTGGAGATACTGTGGTTAAAACCTTCAACCTGAATTTACACTGAAAGCTTAATTCAGTCATGGAGTTCTGTGCTCATGGGTATAGCATACAGTGTGCATTATCTATATGTTACACGGTGATCAAACATTGGATATTTTTTTACAAGCCGCCTTTTGCATGTGTGAAAAGGATGCTAAATAAATAACATTTTATGTCTAGTCACTGTGCAATAGAGGTTTTAAAATACTTAATTGTTCTAGGTCAAATTAACCTTCAATATGCCATAGATTTCTGCCTTGTGTTATCTAAAGGACCCTTATAAGATGACAGAGGGAACAGATTTGTTCCTTGAAGTCATTAAAAAGAAGTACTTTGTTCATGCAGTTTTCAATATGTATGTCTTCTCAGAAGAGACTCTAAAATACCATCTTTTGTCATTCTTCCTTAATAGAAACCTGGTTAAGAAGTACTGTCCTAAACGTTCACCCAAAGATGAGGAACCCAGGTAAAAATGTGCATTTCAAGTTCTTCGTATAAGAAACGAGGACTACAGTATACTCTGTCTTTCATGGAATTTTTTTTTTTTCTTTTTTTAAGATAAAGTATTTAATTGGCTAAGACATGAAAAGAATTCTGCTTGGCTTCATATAGTTCTGCTGTAATTCTTAAGCACGAAACCTGAGTTTAGTTCTGTTAGTATTTTAAAGTAGTAAACATGGCAGGTTGTGCTTGCTCCATTCCAAATTAATCTTTAGCTAGCTGAAAGTTTGAAAGCAGAAGTTTAGTATTCTATGTACAGTCTAGTATTATTTTTTTATAGAAATGCAATTATGTGTCCTTAGGCTGTGGCTTTTTGCTTAGTTTAGTGGAGTTTTTCAGTGCGTTTGTGTGGCAATACAAATGTAGCTATACATTTGTATACTGAGACTTGAGTGTACACAAAATTGTCATGTTTTTGGCAAGAAGAGCTCTTAAACTGCTGGCTTGCTTTGACTCCGGAGACAAAATAAGCAAATGTCTAACTGTGGAGGAGCAATTTCTGCTAAACAACTTTATGATTATTTATCAAAGAGGTGTTTATTTTGCTGTCCATGTCCATAGCCATTTTTTTATTTATTTAGAAAAACACAATACTTTTTTTCTTTAGGGATAACTGCTACAAAGGAAAGAAAGTGGGCAAGTTTCAGGTTGCAGCCAGAGCACATGCTGTGCACAGAGTGCCTGAGAATTCACACTAGGATTTCCTCTAGCTCTTTTGACTATTTAAAGGTCCTGGACCACAGGGAATGGGATTTCTAGTGCTAGAGTGGCATTTGAATTCCCCAGAGCCAAGCCTATGGAGATGGCAGTATTCCACAGTTAAAAGAGAGAAAGATGTATATTTTAATGTGGTGCCTGTTTTTTTTTTTTTTCCTTTCTTCCCTTCCACACACACTTTCTACCCTTTGCCCCTCCTCTTCCCCCCTTTTTAGTGCCAGCCATAGTGGCACCTTACTTCCAGCCAGGAGGTGGGCAGGCAAACAGGCAGCTGTCTCCAGAGCTGATAGCAAACTTGTTCTGTAGATCATCCATCGGGATGCATATGAGTGGTATGATTGGCATGTTCCACCCTCAAGACTACCAAGCACATCATCTCTGCAGCAAGTTCAGCCTCCGAGCCTAGGGACGTATGTATCCGTTCCCAAGCTCAGGCCTCTCAGTTGGCAGCTTAGGAGATACCACTATACTACAGGGCTTTCCAGGTAGTATTCTTCTTCTTTCTTTTCCATCCACAAAAATCCATATTCTTATAAAATGTATTTGAAGAGACATTGCAACGTATAGTCCATCCTAGGCTTAATGTAGGCTTTCCCAACTTGCTACTATAATTCAATTAGCATTAAGATAAGGTTTATTGTAAAATATGTATGATTGGTTTTTTATTTAATCAGGAGTACAGACTGTACTGAAAGAAGTCCGTTTAAAAAAAACTGTCTCACTTTTTGTCTATGTATGTCTGTGTGTGTGTGTGCTCTCTGTCAGGTTTACTTCGTGTATTGCCTTTTTTAACATCCTTAATGAGTTGAATGACTATGCAGGACAACGAGAAGTAGTTGCAGAAGAAATGGGACACAGAGTGTATGGAGAATTGATGAGATATTCTCATGATCTAAAAACTGAGAGAAAAATGGTAATTTCTATATATTTTTATTTGATAATAGGATATCAAAATGGATATGTCTTTTAATGAATCGATATATTTGTTTACCCAATTTAATGAACTTGGCAATAAATAGGTTTTGTAATACATTTGTAAAACATATTTAAAGTTATTCTATATTTTTATGTACTGGTTTACTACAGTTATTAAACTTAAAAATTAAGATCTGGGAGACAGTGCTTACTAGTGATTTTTTTTTTTGCCGGTGTAATTTTCATCTGTGGTTCTGTTCTTACGTGATTAGTAATGTCTTCCAAATACTGGTAACTTGTGGGAGATACTGCACATCATAGTGTGTCAACTAGAAAAGGGACTAACTAATGGTAATAGTACTAAAAAGACAGGTAAATTAAACTTATTTGTGGTGTTTTCAGCATCTTCAGGAAGGGCGAAAGGCTCAACAATATCTGGACATGTGCTGGAAACAGATGGATAATGTGAGTTTGTGGGGGGTCCTATCAAACCTAATAATATAGTCTGTAAATGGAACTGTCTCACCTTGTTTGCTTGGACTGTAACGTTTAGCTATATTCCTGAATTTCCAAATCAGACTTAGTAACGTCCAAAGTACAGCTCAATGCATTTGTAGTTCCCCGTTTAAAATAACTCTCCTGTAAACAGCGCATAAGTTTGAGTGCTTTTATCCAGCATAAAGGTATCCGTTTTTAACATGGGTACAGACTTCGGTTGCTTCTCCGCGGGATACTTTTTCTTTAGAGAGTAATTACTAATGACAATTTATTTGCACGAAGATGAAATCTTAAGTCACTGTATTTGACTTGAGTTTGTTAGGTAAGGTCTATTCAAGGATACCATTATGCTTTCAGGAGGTAGAATTACTTTTTAACAGAGAAATTCAGGAAGTGAATTTCTCTAGAACAGATTATAAGCTCCTCTTTCTTGAGAGACGTGCTTTTAAGGATGAGAAAATATATAGTTCAACCAAGCATATTCAAGGTGCGTTCTGATATTCTACTGGTTTAGTGTCTTAGAAATGTGTTATATCTTTGATCCAGATTACTGTGAAGCATACCTGAGAGGTGAATTTCTATTCTGTTGTTGTGGACCCAGATAAGCAATGTCTTGCTTCATTGTCATGTCAAAGAGTTTAATTCATGGTCAGAGGACCAGAGTAGGAGCAAATGTGGTAGTTTTAGATGCTGTCACCCTTCACCAAGGTAATTCCCAGAGTTCACCTGAAACAATCAGTTGTGTCTTGTGCGCTGTATTTACTTGAGTGCAAAGTCAGTCTTCTAAATGCATACAGCCTTTAAGGGTCACGTTAACCTCAACTGCGTGACTTTGCACTGAAGCAGGAGAGCAGTGCTCACGCATCTCTGTTGCCAGTTTGTCTCTAGAGCTGCTAACTTCTGGAGCTGCAACTGTTTTTCCTACAGCGGTTGTCTTGACAACAGCTGGATATATTGAACATCAATTGAATACTGTTGTCTGCTGCTTTCATCTACACCAGTTGATATGAATACTGGTGATAATGAATGGGTATGATGTAGATAGATCCTTCAGACTACCTTCAAAATTTAGTTTAATTTATTCAATTAAAATTGATCACCGAAGAAGGGAACTTGAAAATTTTACTCATACAAATCCAGGTTTAAGTTTTCTACCTTAACTTTTAGGTTGTTGAAGTCAGGCTAGAAAGTGGACTTGTCCATTTACAATTAACTGCAGGTCTTTGTAATATCTGATATTTTGTAGCATAATTGCAGTTGTTTCCTTGCTGGTACTTCAAGGAAATAAGTTTTAAATAGAAAAGTTGAAAATTTTTGAGGCTTGGTTGCTGCGAGAACAATGTATTTACTTAAAGGTACTTACTGAATTTAAGATATTTAAATGGAAGCTTTGATATTTAGAATTCAAAATTACTGTACAAAACCAAAAGGGGATAGTGGTTGTTGAAGCATTAAGTTTGTGGCTTTTGTAGAGCAAAAAGAAATTTGAGAGAGAATGCAGAGAGGCAGAGAAGGCACAGCAAAGCTACGAAAGACTGGACAACGACACTAATGCGACAAAGGCTGATGTTGAGAAGGTAAGAGTGGTGACATTTCTTTCTTTACTCTCTCTGTGGTGAAAAACATTTTATTTGCATGTTTATCATTAGTACTGGAACTACGTTCTTTGAGCGCATAAAATATGCCTGCTTATTATGTGCAAAATCAAAGACAAGACAGCACAGAGAGGGAGTACACTTCATTAGTCTCAAGATGATGCTGTTGAGGCGATGACTTCTGTAAACAGGCAGGCTTCCTGGTATTTGGTATCTTGGTCAGTCACTTCTGTGTTTTTTAGGGTATGCATTTAAAAAGCCATGTGGCTAAGGGACCTAAAATGGTCATTGCGCTCTCAGCATATAACAAATTAGGTCTGTAGGCTGTCAGTATATATGAAGTCTCACATTCTTTTTATTTCAGTTATAAGGCTGTCAGTTTTGGTGACTTGTGATGAGTGTTTTTGCACAGTTGGTAAAATGAATTAAAATTATGCTGTGTGGCATTGAAAAGCACAAGACATGTTTGAACTGATAACACTTTCCCACTAGGCTAAGCAACAGTTAAACCTGCGCACGCATATGGCTGATGAAAACAAAAATGAATATGCTGCACAACTACAGAATTTTAATGGAGAACAGCACAAACACTACTACATTGTCATTCCTCAGATTTATAAGGTAAAATAATTAACAGAGAAAGTAGGTCTTACCTTCTTTTAAGGGAGAAGTAGATTTTAAAATTTGAAACTTTACTTTTGGGATTTTAGTGGATAATTTTATCAAGAAATTAGCATAATCTTGATACAACCTGTGTTTTGTCATGAGATTGACTGCTTACAGTAATGATGTTTAGACTTGTAATGAAAATATTCTGTTGCATCTTCTATGAAGATTTTATATTTTATAGAATCTATGTTTAAATATTGCTGAAGAAGTATGGCAAAATGCACATTTGAGACATCTGGGTGAGAGTAAACATTTAAAACAAACATTCTAATTATGTTTGATCACTAGTTCTCTTGATGTTTGTGTGTGTGAATGCTTTGACTCTGGCTGAGATGAAGGAAAGCATACAGCTAATGGTGACTGTGGTTTAATGTATCTCATGTACAGGTATAAAATGGGTGGACTGGAGACAGAAGTACTTACCCCCACCCCAGTTGGTCATTGCTTCATCAATATTGCTATATAAAATAATAAAGAAAGTTAAAGGTCAGAGTAGATTAATACTTTGCATCTAAAAAGGGGATTTCTCAAGGTGTTTCGTGTAACTATTTAAGTGGGGTTTTTTTTAAGATTCTTTCAAAAACAGAGATTTTGCAAAACTAGTTTAAAATAAAATAGTTGGGGGGCATCAGTGAGGGAAATTTTAGAAATGTTTTGGCATGTATGTTCAGCCATCTGGGAGAATACAGTGACAGTAGAAACTGATTCTGAGACATGGAGTGAGGAAATGGAAAGTAAAAATACTGACTTTATTTGAAGGTGTACCAACTTAAGAATGCTTGGTATTTACCAGAAGCACAAGGGAGTTCATGTTTTTTAAAAACATTTATTAGAAGGTCTAGGATTCACAGGAAAAAAATTGCCTGGGCTTAATAAAGAATTCTCTAATATTTTAACTGTTAAGCAGCACTACAGTAGATCTGACATTAGCAGACTGGTGGAGGAATTGCAGTCAACTCCCAAGAGGAAGACTTGAATCATGTTTGTTTGTAGCTTGGACCAGAGTTTTGGTTTATTGCCTTTATTTCTCTAGGGTTAAAATCCATTATCTTTGTAAGATATTACTTACGTTTTTTGAAATCTCCAGTAAGAGCAGGAAGGCCTAGTCCTGCTTTCTCTTGGGGACTACATTTTTATTATTTCCTTGCAAGTATTTGGTAATGTTCTATGGGAAAACCTTGAGAGAGGGATTTAGCATGACTAGCTTGTTGCTGTGTTTCAGAGAGAGGAAATTGGATGCTGTTTGAGACATCTGCCTTTGTTAGAGTAGATACGGGAAAGATCCAATTTCTTACCCTGTTTTTGATAACCTATTGATGTATGTACTATTGCTTTTTGTTTTCTTTTGGTTTTTTCCCCCCCCACCTTCAATTAGGTGAAAGGTCCAGCGCTATTATCTTAATAGTATTTCTCTTTAATTTGTTCTTTTTGTTGTGTTCCAGTGGACTTGTATTACAAATCTTATGTAATGGTATTCTTTTCTTTATTTTCTTGCACACTTCTAAAGGAAATGGTTTGTATTTCAAATCAGAGAGCATGTCTAAACAGCATATAAATATTGCTAATTTTTTAATATTTTTTTAATCATTGGTATTTATTGGAAAGTAGAAAAATAAAAGCAAGATAGAGAGATTTATCACCAGAGAGAAATTACTTGGAACTAGAAGGAGAGAGTGAGGAGATGAAGAAATCAGTAGAATTTCTTTACTGTAGTTTTCATTTTTGCATGAAACAAGTATTTTAAACTAAGTAGGTGGCTGTATACACTGTACACGTGCTTTAAAAAAAGAATAAGGAAAGTCCAGTCCTTTACATCATTTTTAAAAACCAAAGAGTGTCAACTCTTGGTAACTACTGTTCTGGGCATCTTAAGTCTATGTCTGAAAGGACTTGATTTTTTTTTAACTTAATTAAGTTCTGTTTTGTTAAGCAAATAAAAATTCTGGGAAGGCACAGAAATTCTGTACTACACTGTGGTGACCACAGTAACTGCATACATCAGGACTGGGGGGAAAAAAAATCTGCAAAGAAAAGCTTTATTTTATCTTACTTTGTGCTTGCAGCAACTTCAAGAAATGGATGAAAGAAGGACTATCAAACTCAGTGAATGTTACAAAGGCTTTGCTGACTCTGAGCGCAAGGTTATTCCGATTATCTCTAAATGTCTAGAAGGGATGATCCTTGCAGCAAAATCAGTTGATGAACATAGAGTAAGTAGAATTGAGTGACTTCTTTAATGTGCATGAGCAATTTAACTGATACAGGAGCTGTGGAGAGGGGAAAGACGGACTTACCCTGTACATTTATCTTTCTGTTGTCAAATACTTGTCTGCTTGAAAAGTGTTGTGCCTTCAGTTTTAGCCTTAAGGGTCACTTCCAGTTTTGGTGTCTGTTCTTTCCCTGTTTTATTGCTTTTTGTGATCGGAAGATCTTTGGCACTTTCTCACTGTATGTGATTTTGGACACATTGTTTTGGTTATCCCAGAACATCCTAGAATACCACCATGGTTGGTATTTTCTCCAGTATGTAGCATTTAATTATATAAAGGGTGTCCAGTTAACAAGGTATCATTGTGTCCTGTTTGATTGCAGCTCGTGGCACTTCTTCCTTAGTCCTAATACGGGCTCTTCCCTAAAATATCTTACTACATCTGGTCTCTTAGTATTATCTTCATTTCAGTGCTAATGTTGAAGGATTAGAAGGTGGGGTAGTAGGTTTGGCCCTAAAGCACGTTCTGTTTTAAATTTGTGATAACCCTTGGGCAGTATTGGCTGGATTCTGAATAGCAGGATATGCTGTGATTCACGCTCATGGTAACACTGCTGAGAAAAAAAGAACATACTTTGTCTTAACTTGATCTATCCAAAAGGATACATTTTGAGCTCTCTCACACTTTCCTATCTGTGCATCTCTGCAATTAAAGGAAAAATTTATGTCTCCGTGTTTTTCTCTCTCCAGTTCTTGGTGGGTTTGCTTGTTTTGCTTTTTAAACTCCTTAATGTCTTATGTTTAGGACTCTCAACTAGTGATAGACTGCTTCAAATCTGGTTTTGAACCTCCTGGAGATTTTCCATTTGAAGATTACAGTCAGAATATTTACAGAACCATCTCTGATGGAACCATCAGTACACCAAAGCAGGAAGGAATGAGAATTGATTCAAAAACTACAGTGGGCAAGGCTAAAGGAAAGCTGTGGCTATTTGGAAAGAAGCCAAAGGTAACAATTAAGAAATCACTTTTCGGAAAATTCAAATGTGAAGATCTAGAGTGCATGGAAGCAGCAATTTATTTATTTTTAAATAACCTTCCCCTTGCCTGCCACTGTCTTTTAAAATACGTGTAAGGAGATCTGAAGGTTTGAGTAGGGCTGAATACTTACCATATTAAAAATCAAGTTCTCGCTGGGGGAATTGTTCTAATTTTTCTTCTAGTGATTTGTGTTTGGGAATGTTTTTAATAGTTATTTGATAAAAGTACCTTCCCATTTCTGTAACGTTTCTAAGTTTCTGTAAAGATTTTCTGCAATTGCATAAAAAAGGTGTTAATTGTAAATGTAAAAATAAGGGGACGGGGGAGTATGTTTTGGAATCAGACAGACTTCAGAACTCTTTCATACTACAAAAAGCAACCCCCTTCTAAATGTCACATTCCGTAGATGTTTATATATAGGACTGTTGTATAGATTTTTATTATACCTGCTGCTAGTTTTGAAAACTTCTCAGATTTGTCTGAAAACATTAAAATTTTAATACCTCATTGATAAAACATGCTGTTGAAACTCCATACAGGTAAATGTTCTAGAAGAAATATTACCATGAAATAGGTAAAAATATTCTTATGCTCAAAAAGCAGAGAAATTACTCCTTTCTTTTGTATTATTATATGGGTTTCAATTAACACTTTCTGTGCAACATGCCTTTATGGATCAACAAAAAAAGATTATCAATACATGCAGTAGCTATATAAATGAATATTGAAGCATATACATATTTAAATTTATGCTAGATCTTTATTTAGTATTGGAGCATATCAGTGAATCATTTTAATGATTCCTACAAATTTCAGTGAGGTTATTTTAATGCTTAAAGTCTGTTTCTGCCATTTATTATAGGAGACTATTCTCAGAGCTTGTTCGTGGTAGGATTTATTTTCCATTTGATGGTATTCCAAGAAAGCAGATCTTTACCGAAAGAAAGGATATAGCTGATTCTTTATTCCCTCCTCAGTGTATTATGTAACTGCAGCTGTGTGTTAAACTGAAAACCTATTGTTTACTCTTCATGTAGTATAATTAATGATCGATAATAGTTTAAATGCATTAATGCATTAACATATTTATTGCATTTGGCTGCAGAGGTGGGTGAGATTCAGCCTGTTCTGAAATGAGAATATGATTACCAGTGTGACAAGACACCTTTCTGAGAATTTTGGAGAGGGAGGCTATGAAAATCTGCATTGGTTTTCAATCTGGACACGGGCATTTACTGTCGTTACAAGAAATGCCTTCTGACAGCTGAAGAAAGCTGACAGGGCTTTCCATATACTTTCTTACCACAATTTCCCTACTCTTTCTTCTCCCCAGTTCGTTCACTTTGTATGTAGCATTCAGCAGGTCTGCCTTACTGTTTCCTGTATGGAATCACAGATATACAGATGTGTATATGTACTACATGCTTCTCTTCCTTAAGGATCTGAAGGAAATAGAAGATTATGTCCTGTTTTTTCTCTGTTTTGGGGGAGGATAGGGAGTTGCTCTACAAAACAGCAGCTAGGAGCAAAATACTTACCAGGAGATACACATTTTATTCCAAATACTATTTACAGGTTTTAAAATATATTCTTAAATTAGCTAATATAAAAATATGCTGATTTATTGTAGCTGGAGTATTCATGGTGGCCTTTGGGTCTTCATTTAGCTGAAACTATGGCTGGTCTTGACTTCGAGATATGCACTTTAAAAGTCTTTTGGAAAGGGAATGAGTTGTGCAGCAGAAGAAATAGTACAGAAAACTCAAACTGGGAAAAAGCAGCAGTGGTATGAGAGACAAAAAATGGGAGAAGTAATTTGAAAAAGGGGGAGGAAGAAAGTGGAGGAAGTTCTCGTGGTGATACTGATTAAGAATTCCACACACCTGTTGAGTCGGTCCAGCTTGACTACAGAGATTGAGTGTACTTTTTGCTTTAGTCATTTTCCATAGATGTACCTAACACTTCTATAGGGTACATTAAAATGTAGGAAGAAGCGGTGAGCAGGAGCGCACAGGCTTCCAGAGTGGCTGTGACTAAAGCTGGGAAAAGCAGAACTTCCTGTTCTAAGGAAAGAGACGGGCAGCTTTGGGATCTTGTGGAAGTGTTGAGTCTAAAGCTTTTTTGAATATTCCTTCATTCTCTGCACCAACCTGTAACTCTGAAGATTAATTCACAACAGAAACGTTTTAAAACCAATACAGTTATAGTGTAAATATGTCTGGAACGTTACAAGCTGTTTCTGTGTTGGATGGAAATTTTATTTTTGTAAGATAGAATTTTCATTTTAAATTCACTTTGAACATTTGGCTTATTTATTGCTTTCTTTATTTCCACATTAGCCACAATCCCCACCCCTAACCCCTACTAGTTTATACACATCCAGTACTCCTAATGGGTCCCAGTATCCCATATTCTCCATTGAACCAGTGCATTATTGCATGAGTGACATAAAAACAGGGAAGCCCAGAATTCCTTCTTTCAGAAGCCTCAAAAGAGGGGTAAGTTTGATAACAAGTTGAAATGCATGATGGGCTATGAACAGTGTGTTTGTGATGTGGCTTTTCTAATGCTCTTCACCCTCATTATAAGGCTTACTTGGTTAAAAGGAACACTTCAGCTCTAAGGTTACTGTTAGGATACTTTGTTTCAAATTGTACGGAAGCTACCAGCAGGTTAAAAATAAAATAAAATAGAAGTACGCTTTATTGCATTCCAGATTCTTGTGCCTAAAAGAAAGGTGTTATAAAGAGGGTGCTCAGCATGTGTTTGATACCTTTCTTCATTCTTGTTCACATTCACAAATGTTTTCCTACCATCATGTAACATACCTTTGCAGTAATTTATCATTGGGTTTATAGTCACCACAGAAAATATCAGACAGATCAGATGTCTTACTTGCGGACTTTTAATTGAAATAATAGTAGTTGATCATGAAACACTGAACTAAGGAGGGGAAAATTTCATTTCTTTTGTACATCCAATGCTATAGCATATGGTGCTTGCAGATTTGGAAGTACTGATCTTTTGAAACATGACAATGTTAATGCATTTTCTGATTAATAAATTGTCTTTGTTTGTCCAAGGTTCTTTCGGGTAAAATTATTGAAAAATTACTACCAAATGCCACCTTCTGAGATTTATCAATTCTTTTACTAATTTATGGTGGCATATTCTGCAAATAGAATTTGTTTAGAAGACAATAAAAGGGAATGTTAAGTGGTTTTCTTGCAATATTTGTAGTACTGGTGATAAATGTACTGGCATTTTCCTGTTATGTCAGTGAAGCATAGGCTGCCCAGTTTATGTACGTTTTATGATATTTATTGATCCAAATGATGAGATAATTGGATGCATTTGATTATATATAATTCCAGTATTTGAAAACAATATTGACGTGCTGTCTTAGTGCATCAAGAATGGTTGACTACTGTTGACATAACGTGGAGATCAAAGTACAACCATGTTATATTGCAGTAAAGTTATGATTTAGAGGCTCCTTTGCTGTCATTCTGAAATATAATAAGTTACACTTAAAACTTATTTTCTTCATCTTTAAGTCATGTTGTGACATCTTATTGCAGGCCCCGAGATATCTTGGAAATACCCTTTCTACCAGCACTGTTTTTTAGAAAATTCTTGTGATCCTCTAAGTATTTATGGAGGACAGTTCCTCCTTTCCCCTTCTGAGTCACTTATAATTTGTTCTGGTCGTGAAGATAATGTTCCTTCTTTTGTACTCAGTGAGGAGCTAACTGGATTAGATAGTTGTTGAAATGGCACGGGTCTTGATTACACCCCCTTTTTGTTGATCACTAAATGTATTGACTACTGGCTCACAAATCAACACCTTGTAGTATCAGTAGTTCTAGAACCTCTTAGTATTCTGTAGAATTAGCAGGATCACTAGTATCCTACAAGTCTTAACTTGAGTATCCCACCATATCAAATAGTTAATGTCTGTAAATCTTCAGGGTGAACATTTAATTTTTATATATTTTTAAATTCCTTGTAAGCATTTTAACAGACATCACATTATCACATATCGAGTGCCTTTTCAACTTAAATGTGTACTGTAATGTAATAGATAGTTGAATTTCATTGATCAGTCTTATCTTTATAATATACCTTGATTCAGTGCTTAATAGTTGCTAGTACCTGATGCTGTTTTCCACAGTTTTGTCGCTGTAAAATGATGTCCAAGTGGTATTGACATGCAGAATGACCGTATGGTATTTAATTCACTTCTGCTTCTATTGAGATTTATGAGTTGGCACATACCAGACAGTAGGCATACTGCTTATTTTCTTCAACGTGCCCTGAACAAGATTTCACTCAAGGCACTGGAGATCACAAACCCAGACTGCCCTCATTCTGTTCTTCATGCATTGGGTTTCCCTATCACGATGTATAGCGAAAGCAGCAAACAGTAGCTGTAGAACAGGTTATTGGAAAAAGGCTTTAAGTATAAGCAAGTATAACTTGCTTTATTAGCACTGCTGTTACTTGCTGCTTATTATCCTTTGAAATCTTAATGTTTCCAGATAGTGTTAGTGCTTATGATAGGTCTTCGCTCAATGCCACTTGATACATAAATAGATGCACTGTCAAGTGATGCGTAAACCTTACTTGTGTTTTCTTGGAAGACTCTTTCTAAAGGGAAAAAGAAGTTTATTCTATAGCCATTTCACATCTCGGGACTGTTTGACTTGGGTGTTTCTTCTGAAGTATCATTTGTGAAGATGCTTTACTTTCCTCATTGCCAGAAACTCTGATTTTGTGTGTGTGCCCCAATCAACAGCGTTACCAGTTGCTGAGGGTCATAAATGATGTCGGAGATACATATCTTCTAAGTTGCTTGGTGTTTTGGAAATTATCCAAATTCATTGAAAGCATGGTAGATCTTCAAAATGCAGTGAATGTTAAACCCAAGATATGACACCTGGCATCCCCTGTTTTATTTGCTTCCTCTAAGGATAAAAAGTCTTTACTCTAAATATCTCTATTTTTATCAGGACTAAAGCATTTCTAGGATAGCAGCAATGACCCAGATGCTATTTTCAGAAAGTAAAATTACTAATTTCTAAACTTGAAAAAGATCTTTGTTTATTGTAGTTCTACTGTGATAATAATGTAAATACATTGTAAAAATCATATTTGTAAAAGTGATGGTAGTGGATTGCTAGCTATAATTAACAAATTATTTGCATATGGCTGACCAGTCCTTCATCATCATCAAATTCTGCTACTTTGTGCAATGTTGGCTGTGTGTTTGTTTCTTCTCCTACTCCTTAGAATTATTATTCAAAGCACTGAAATTCAAAAGTAATTCAAAGAAGTTGTGTATTAGAATTTCTTAAGTTAAACTACTCATTATCACCTAGTAATTTTTTAATCAGTAATTCTTAAAGCAGGAGTGCATTTTGGATTATTGTATTTTGCTTTTCTTGTGCTTGTAGTAAAATGTATTTTTTATAAATTTTTAATCCTTAAGTAATATTTTAAAGATACATTTTTTAGGCATTAATCATTTTCGTAACTGGTCGTTGCATGTGAGTAATTTCCCGTTTCTTTCTGTTTTCAAATGAACTGGGCAGTGGTCGGTGAAGATGGTAAGCCCGTGTGCTGATCTGTCTGCTGTACTTCTGCTAAGATAGCATGAAAGTAATCTTTTGACAGTGTTTCCATATCATAACTGCTTTAAGTCAGGTGCTGAAATACATCTTCAGATTTTCCACTCATATACACAGTCTTCTTAATCATCCATGCTTAATGTAAGATAATTAGACTTGTGATCTGGCCGCAACTAAGTCCGTGATTTTGGAATTTTAGGGTTCACTGGTATTCACGAGTTGGTCATGATGGGAAATACTTGGTGATTTCTCTTTGTCAGGAAAATTGTTAAAGTGGTGTAAAAAGGGTATATGAAAAGATTACAAAACTTGTCTTAAAGAAGTATTGAATACTGAAAAATTCACTCCTTTGAATTTAACCAAAAAATTGCAGGAGAGATGGTCCTTTATGCTTAGGAATATTAGAAAGCTGTCATATTAAATAAAAACCACACCATAATCAGTGTTGTTTTTTGCAGAGTAAATCAGTAAAAATTCACAAAGAGACCTCTGTTCTTATTATTGCTGTAGGATACTCTGGTTTTAACTGACCTGTAAGGAATGATACAGAGGATGTGATTGTCTTTTTGTTTCTTTGTAGTGTGTAAAAGCACCTAAAAGGATTTTAATTATTTTTTTTCCTCCAGAAAGAAACACTTCTGCCTTATTTTTGAAACATTGTATCTGGATTTCCCTCCTTCTATGGTGTTTTGTATTCCCTTCTTAAAAAGCAGTGAGATTATGATTTTACAAGTGCATAAGAACCAAGAGGTTGAGGGGCAAGAAGATCTTAAGAGGGGGTATTAGAAACTTGGCACCTGAGCCTAAGGCTGCTCGAGTCAAAATCTCGACAGTCAAGTTTCTGTCAGGTTTCTTCTTGACCAAAGAAATGCTGTCCAGTTCGGTTTGCCTCCACAGAGGGTTACTGTAATGGCAAGTGGGTTTCTTGTGCGAAAACCAACTTTCTTAGGCAACTGGGACACAAATAACGTAACTTAACTTTCTGTTATTAAGACTTGTACCATATTTCCTTCTTAACACTCTTGGTGTCTGTCACCCTGAGGGGAAGAATTTTTACAACAAACTCTCGAGATGCATAAAAATCTCTTCCCGGGCTTTTCACACCCAAGTCCTTCCATCCTCTTTATAATCTTGGCACAAGTATGCAATCAGACCTTTGCAGGTTTAGGCTCGTAACAATAGGTGGGCTTTAAGTAAGTTTGTGTGGGTTTGGTTTTTTTTAAAGTTTGGAAAGTAGGAGATTTCTTCCCTCCCTGAAACATTATTTTTATGATGTAAAAGATGACTTTGAATATTTGAGCAAGTTTTGATTCAGATTAACAAATTTAAGTAAAAATTTTGATGTTATAAAGGCTTTTTCTGTGCTCTAGGAACTAGTTTTACTCGAGGTAAAATGCATCAGAACTTTCTAAGTTTTAATGTTTTTTAGCAAGATTGCTGAACATCTGGAAGAGAACTGTAATACTACTTTGGAATTAAGATCCAAAATACAGTATTTTTCTTTTGATAGCATCCAAATTGCCATAGAACACACATTCCAGAGAAAGAATCAGTTATATACACATTATTATTATATACACATCTTAGATTTTTGTTCTGACTGAAATTACTCTGTAGTAATTAATTCTGTCCTTTCTAAATCTGCTTTAAGTGCAGTGGATGTAATAGGAGGTACATGGCTCAGCTTCTCAGAAAAATAAGTAAGTCTCCAAAATTAGAATTACATCTGTGAGCCAACTGTTACAGAAGGCAGAAAGAACCTTGAATGAATGACTAGGATCTGGCAGCAAGAATATGCATTTATTCTGTTGTGGTCTTTTATAGAGCTGTGTGTCAAGTAGAGTTTTTTAAAGGTCCATCCTGCTCCCAGTGAACACTGTCCGTGTGTGGGTATGTCAGTTCAGCCGTCCAGATATGTGCGTGTTACTTGTTTAATAGTATTTCTGCTTGCAGGGCCCTGCGCTAGAAGACTTCAGCCATCTCCCTCCAGAACAAAGACGCAAGAAACTGCAACAGAGAATCGATGAACTCAACAGAGAACTACAGAAGGAAACAGACCAAAAGTGAGTGCATTTTTTGGAGTTTTGTCATGGTTCTCTCTCTGTCTGCTTCTTTTGAAGTCCTCTACCTAAGCAAACAGTGCTCAAAAGCTAGGAGAGAATATACTAGTCCAGGTTATTACAGAGCATTTTTTAAGTTTGTGGCTTCTTGTATGGAGGTCCTGTTAGCATTGCTTCCTTCTCCCTTACTATAACACACATTTTGATCCTAACATTGGACCTAAAAGCATGCACCAAAAAAAAAATAAATCAGTGTGTAGGTTTGTTGAGCAAGACAGCTGCAACTTAATGTGTTAAAAAAATGTTATTAATATTTAGGAAATTGTGTATAAAAACCAATATGGGCAACAGTATTGAAACTGGATAGAGAAGCGTTGACAGTTGGAGTCCTTGTGCGCGACACAAGGAAGGAAGGCAAAGTGCTAAGATGACAGAATGGGAAAAGGATTTAGGCATGGTGTGGGGAGCAGTAGTTCCTCATGTCTGTGCTTAATATCTAATCACAGGGTGGGATCTAATACACGTAAACACTATTTTAGCTTTAATGAATCAGTACTGATGTAAGTAATTTTTATAGATATTGTCGGGTTTTGTATGTTTTTAGAGATGCCCTCATCAAGATGAAGGATGTTTATGAAAAAAATCCCCAGATGGGTGATCCAGGCAGTTTGCAACCAAAATTAACTGAGACTATGAGCAACATGGACCGTCTTCGGATGGAAATACACAAGAATGAGGTTAGACTCCAAAACAATTCCTTAGAAAATGTAAACAAGTGGTAAAATTGTGGTTCCCCTTATGGATTATAAATATAGCACCCAGAAAAATGACTTGATTTAAGAAAGTGCTCCTGATACAATTTTTTTGTGGGGTGCCCTATTTTCAAGTATGTTCATCAGGCTAGAATAAGGATGTACATTATTAAAGATGTAAACTGTTTAGAGTAATTTCTTATTAATCACTTAATCTGAAATTCATAGGTGAGTAAACATTATTTTTTTCCTGAAGACTTGTATAGACTATATGCTGACCATAAGGGATAGGTTCACGCTTCATGTGAAGGAATTATGAGACTTCACATGTGAATGCAATCTGCTGACAAGTATACACTTTATACTGTTGGCAGGTAGGTGCATTTGTTAAATGGTATTTGCTGGTTTAGAATCAAGTTTTATTTGACACCAATATTTTTGTCTTTTTTCCCCAAGGCCTGGCTCTCTGAAGTTGAAGGTAAAGTAGCAGCCAGAAGCGACAGGAGGCACAGCAGTGATATCAACCACCTTGTAACACAGGGCAGAGAGAGGTCACTATTCTATCTCTACTGCTTTTCTATCTTATGCTAGAATCGGTACATCTCTTTGATAGTTAACAGCAGGGGGTGGTTGTTACTTACCCTCTGAAAGTTTATGTCCTTCTAAAGGAAAATATTACTGGTTCTGAATTCTAGAGGTCACTTCATGTCATTATGGTGACAAAAAATAGTGAGCCTAATTGAAACACCCACTCATTAAATAGCAGTGCTTTTTAAAGCTATCTTATTCCTTTGCACAAGGCTCACGAAGTTTCCATGTTCTATAGAGACAGGTATGTCAAATTTATGTTTGTTTTTGTAGCAGAATTCAGTCCAAGCCGTCAGTATTTTCAGAAAATCACCTCCAGCAGTAAATATAAAAGCTGCTAATAGGCATTCCCGGAGTGATAGCCATGGTCTGCCCTTTCTGCGATGCACATACGTTCTGAGTTTTAGAGCTAGGAACTCTTCAAAGTCCTCACGCTCCAATCATTGCGTTATAGCCCTGAAGGGAGTTACACGGATGATGCAAATCAGGAAGTTCGAGGCCCACCACAGCAACATGCGCATCCAAATGAGTTTGATGATGAGTTTGAAGATGATGATCCGTTACCAGCTATAGGACATTGCAAGGCAATATATCCGTTTGATGGTAAGGTTAACAACATGCACTGCGATTCCTTGACTGTAGGGCAACTTGACTATAAGACATGGATCATTTGTTATGGAGAAGACAGGTAAAATGATTTAAAGTAAATTAACTGTATGAGCAACTAGTTGCTTATAAGATCAGTGGAAATATTTTGCAAATCGCTTTTAATTCATGAGCAGTACTTTTGTGCTGTTTTAAGATAAATACTAGCACAGCTATTGGCAAATATTCAGCTTTACAAATTGGACTAGGCTTTTGTCTGTAAGCCTGTTTGACCATATGTTCTCTTGCACAGATTTTTGGTTCTTCCTGTTTATATATAATCTGGAAACTATGCCCTGGGAAAAAGATGACTTGAAAATCTGTCTGAACACTGAGACTTCTTTGCCTCTTGTTTTTTTCCCAGGTCATAATGAAGGCACTCTAGCAATGAAAGAAGGGGAAATTTTGTACATTATTGAGGAGGACAAAGGAGATGGGTGGACAAGAGCTCGAAGACATAATGGAGAGGAAGGCTATGTGCCAACATCATATATAGATGTAACGCTAGAGAAAAACAGCAAAGGTGCAGTAACCTATATCTAACAGTAAACTGGCAGCTTTCAGTTGTGCATTCCCCAGGGAAAATAGTGGAAAAATAGTAAGTTACACAGGTTCATGGAAAGCATTAGAATATCAGGTCAGCAATGGTCTATTATTTGCAATGTGAGATTGCTATAGTTTTTTCAGAGATGACCGCATTAAATTACACATCTTACACTGGTCTGTAATTTTGACCAATGTCTTCTGCTTTGTTTACTGATCTAGTAGTGTTCCTGCTTTACAAAGCACTAAATCCAATTCAGCTATTAACGGAAATGGAGCAGGATTCCTGCTTGTTCTACAGCATACTTTGGTTTTATAGAGAACTAAAAAATTACTTAGTTTTAATGATCTCGAAGTTTTACTGTTTCCACTTTTATGATTTAAACTATATACTTAAAGCAGAGGGCTTTTTCCTCTAATAACTAACTGAACTCAGTTACTGAAAATTATTAATTTCCTTCCTTAGCAAATACTTGGCAGCTTTCACTTCTTAAACAGGAAAATGTTTTCTGATTCTGAAAGCTCAACAAAAATACTCAGGAAAAAACATTATGATTAAGAAGGACAGAAAGTCCACTGACCTGCCTCTCCTTCTTTTTCAGTACTTCTAGTGTAGAATGTTGTGTATTGGACACAACTTCGTTGTTTTAACTCTAGATACCTTGAACAAACAAAAAAAGAGACCACATGTAATGTGTGATGTGATGTCTTACTGAAACCTCTCTGTTCCTGAAAAGGGAATGATTTCATATTCTTAATCTGTGCCTGTAAGCTAAGTCTTTGAATTGCATCGTGTTTAGTTTGAAATCAAGGTCTTAAATGTACAGTAATTCCCCTCACTGCTAAATCATTGAGGATCGGAAACTGCATTGCACTACTTGATTACTAGGAAGAAAAAAAAAAAGCTAATCTAAAAGCTGCGGCTCGTATTTCTAATGAGAGTTTGTGGAATGAAGTACAAGGCTAATGTATAGCCACCGAGAAAGGCCTGTTAGAACTGAGCACGCTTCTCTGTCTTCTAAAGGCCTTCAGTAACTTTGTTCTTTTCTTTTTCCTCTTGGACTGCAGGTTCCTGAAGCGGGTTTCTGAGAAAATGGGCGAGATCTTGAAGGAGGTTACATGCAGCTGCTGGGGGGCGGGTGGGGGTGGGGTATTAGACGGGGAGGCCCAAGGGGAAAAGCTAGTTGCATGAATGCATGCAGACATACATTTAGTCACTAACATCTTAGCATCTCCATACATAGGTAAGGATGTATTACAAATTCTTCAATTTGTGCAGGAAAATAGAGTTCCATTACCAGACTAAAAAGGCTACTGCTCCTAAAATTGCTTTATTGTCATTGTCCTAGGTTGTCCCAGATGCACAAACTATATTTTAGCTTGTGCTGTGTTTTGGTTATCTCAATTATGCTCTTTTCCGACTCATTTTAATTGGCAGCCCTTTAGAACCATATATGTCAGTTATCAGTCTGCCTGTGCCACCTCCATGCTCGCCCTTAACCTCCTCCTGCATGCCTAGGACAGTCAGGCATGTCTGCATAACACTTTGCCATCATTGCTTGTCGTATTTTGTAACAAATCATTTTGTTTAAATATCTTCAGCAGTAGAGTTTCATCCCAGTATCCATGTATGCTGCTATAACTATACCACTGCAACCATCATTACATTCCAGTTTTTGGCATAACTGATAAAGAGGCCATAATGTATTTGTGTTCATTTGGGGAAATAATACATCTCAGCTCTAGCCTACAATGCAATCAAGAGAAACTCCTAGAACTGTGGTCCATCTTCAGCACTTCAGTAACCTGTTGTGAGCACTGAAAACCTGGAACACCACCAGAGAGGATTCACCACTGCAAGCTAATGACTGTTTTCAGAAGTCAACCACTTGCCATTCAAATGCTGCCTTAAACTCGAGTGCCTAAACCTGTTGTTTGCCAACACTACCACGTACAGTATCCCGCAAAGGGCTTTGCATCTCAGCTCTTTTCACAGTGCTGCAGCTGCTGAGGTAGCCACGGTAGGTGTTTTCTAGAGCTCTACTTTACCAGATACATGGTGCATCATGAATTTTATACATTGAAACATGTATCTTTTCATTTGACTTTAATATTTTTTAGAATATTTTTATGGAAACTGTCTTTTAGTTTTTGACTATGAAGTAAGTTCCAATTTTACTTACTGCAGTGCTAGTCCATTTCCAGGTGATGCTTCATTGTATGGACCAGTTGAAATTTGAGTGATACTTCGTAATGATCTATGTGCACTTTTACTTGTAAACAATTGAAATTTGGATATGTTTATATGTGTAAATATAGTTGTCTGCAGTGCCCCTATTGCTTATGTTGTCTTGCCTCCCATTTGTGGTTCTATTAATAAATACATTCTATCTGATTTATTAGGGCGATAAGAATTAGACTAGAGATGTTGGGGGGAGGGATACTTGTATCAAAGCGAGCTTGTCAACCCAGCCACCTGCTGTTTGGGGAAATGTAATAATAATCAAAACATCCTGTTTTTCTGGGGTCTGAAGCAATATTTGGATGCAGCAGTGCTGGATTCTTTTTAATTTCAGTGTTATTAGGAACTGTACTACCCGTAAAACTGAATATGAGTGACTTGTGTAGAGGTTTATTCATTTTGTTATGTATACCACTATTACACAGCTTGACCTAGTGTATTATGGGGGCTATTAAACTCTAAAGTTTAGATTTTTGGAGCTTGTATACAGGGTTATTTATATAATAATGTGACATTACTCAATACTGACAAAACTACTTAGGTAGTTTTTTGGGTTCGGGGGTCTTGGGGGGTTTGTTGTTTTTTATTTTTTGTTTTGGTTTGGTTTTAAATCTAGTGCTTTTTTATTTTAAAGTTAGAGAAAAGGAGGAAACGTGATCTGTGTATTTTCTGCTAAAGGGCCTGTGGTTTGCCTGGCTAACAGCCTTGCAGGTCAGTAATAACACTTCCTGGTAAAGGACTAAATGTTCTTTTCACGCTACTGTTTGTTTTTCTAAAACCAGGATTTGCTTCCTTTGGAGGCAGGTTGCTTTCATGAGGGATAGTGCAACTTGTATGAGGGTTATTAAACATAGGAAAAAAACATTTGTACTTGCACAGCTAGTTATAAATCACTTATTCTAAAATTCTGAACGTGAGTTGTCTTAAAGAATCTTACATTTTCCAGTAATTTTTAATCCTTTTTTGTGCACATGTTGATTTCCTAAATGTTAAATGCTTTGTTTAAAAATAGTGTTCTCTGTTGAGAATATTTTCATGGAATAAAAAAATCTTTTCATGGTCTAAGTAATTGGCTTCCCCATTTGTTTTCTGTTAAGACTGACAGGGAGACCTGCAGCTTGAGGTCTGTAACCTCTTGTTATGGTGGTAGAACCTATGCTATGGTTGTAGATGGGGGGAACAGATAATACTCTTTAGGTGTTGGTGGTGTTGTTAGCCTACTCAAATACTTTCAAATGCTGTAAGTAACATCTCATGCCAGAAAAAGGCTTACTGTCAATGAGCACATGCAGCTCTAACCATAGTTCTTCCTTAAATATTTATACAACTTCTGAGGATAATACTTATACACCAGCTCCTTATGTGACAAAGTGGAATTTGCTGCTAAAGCATTCCTTATATAAACAGCGTGCGTGCTGATTTCCTATGAAAAGTGCTAACAGCTTATGCTTTGCCTTCATCCAACAAAAAAAAACCCAGCCAAAACTACTTACCAAAGTGATTCACCTCAGTAAATGAAGCAAGTTTAATAGATACGTACACCCACATTTACTCATATCCGAAAGCATTTTAATTATCTGGATTGTTTGTTCTTGCCATTTCATCATTCATTCCTGGCAGCGTAGCTGTCGTGCAGGCTCCAGCAAAAGCCAAAGTACTACAGATGTCTTAAAAAAAAAAAGCAAGTTGTCCCAACACATACACAACTCATTTTCTACTTTCGTAGGTGCAGTAATAGTTAAGCCTTCTGCTGTGGTCAGAGAAAAAGGATCATTTCTGCGATCTGCAAATATGCAAATTATTTTGCATAAAGATACTCTTTAATTCACGATTCTATGTACACCGTTTTATATTCATTAAAGGAGTATTATACAACAAATGTTCTGCAATGTCACATACTTAATCTGTCATTTTATTTACACTATTTGCTTCATTTTAATATTAAGATGCCAATGCCCTTACTCGTAGGCATTATCAAAACATTGCAACTCTGGGTAAATACAGAAAGCTGTAAGACTACCTTACAGGGATAACCTAACTGTTTAAAGGGATCATTAAATGACTTGGCAACACAATAAATAAATAATTTGTTTAGAAATCAGTAGTTTCAAAACAAGTGTGTACTGTGCAGTTAAAAGTTCTAAACATCTTCTGAAATGCAAAAAGTTTGTGCAGTATCCCATTGCCAAAAGAAAGCTAAGGTTATTTCAAGTATATAATTTAAATAGTGTTACAGAGTCTTATATACTCAATTGTTCCACCTGCTTCACTGGAGGAGGTTCCAGTTTTCGGGAAAGTGCAGTTAAAATCTGGCTGAATTTCTTGTATCTTTCATTTTGATTAACTTGTGCTCCTTTGCTGCCCCAGAGCAATCTCATTTGAAATTCTGTCTTGAAGATTTCGCTCATCTCTTCATCTGGCTGGAAACCTAATAAGTAAAAAGAATCCCACAGCATGACCATCAGGCAAGCTGTTAATTCAGAAGTGGCTTTTATTTCCCTCCAAATAAGATAAGCTGTAGTGTGCTGGGTTCCTTTTGCACACCGAATTTAACAACCTAGTAAAACAGTGAAAATCCTTTTCATCTATCTGTGACATTCTACTAGCTCACAAATGGCTCTAGAGACACTAGGACAGGCTATCCTTTGCTCAGTTCTGATTGGCTAGAACTGTCATCGCAGCCTGACCTTAAATATAATTACTGACATATACATGCTGCCTGCAGAAATACTTACATTTCTCTCCCCTCCCTTAACTTTTTCACTGCAAGTTTGAAATAGAAAGTCAAATTATTAACATGTTGCTGCTTTCTGGCTGCAAGCGGTCAAGATCTCAGTGTTGCATCCTGCCCTGCTGTAAAGAATCTGATTATGATGGGCGGAATTTTGAATTGTACAGAAGACAGGAAGTTACCCTCAGTCCTTACTGTACATTCTATTCAGTTGCTAGAAGAGTCAGCATATCAAGTCATGAGAACTTTTGCGTATGTTTGTTTAACAAAACTGTATGCGATATTGCTTGGTGGAGAACTATAGTGATGAATAATTTACTGTCTGCTTTTAAACAGTACTGATGTTGTCCTCAGACTGCGTTTCCTGCAGGACATTTGCTACTATCTCAGCTTCCATGAAAGAGGAGAATTTCCTGCACTGACTTTTAGTGGCACTTAGGCGGAGACCTTATTCTTTAGACATAACCCAGACATTCTGTTAATGTGCAGTAGTTTCTGCTAGCAGTGCTCCCTACCTTCCAGCATCCGTTCTGCAGTCAAGCTGTACATTTCTGCGTTCCGTGCTATCTGGCGAGCTGTGGCCAAGTGCTTGAGCATTATTTCACAGCTTTGGTCACTGCTTTCCCACAGGTCCATGCCTTCAAAAGTGACAGCTTGTCGCTCCATCAGGGTAATGAAAGGCATCAACAGTGGTACTGTTACGTTGTTCTGTAGAGCAGTGACAGTCTCTGGGATATAGAGAGTAACAAATGAATCGTATCATCAGACAGTATAAAACCAGCTAATTGAAGAAAGTATTGTAACTGCAGTATTCTTTTCAAAGTTGGGAACTACCATTTGTCTTTAATCTTTCAAATTAGCACTTTACCTCAGATACACCCGTTCTACCAGTTTCCAGTGAACTGGTTGGGAGAGAAGGCCAAGACAAATGAGTGTTGGAAAACTGCATTTGCTACAGGAGGAGGCTCTGCTGAATTATTAGACAGTGGCATAGAAATTTTAAGCATATACAAAATCTGGGTCATTCCAACAAATTCTGTGATGCTAAAAAGTTTTCCTTCTCTACCCCTTCTCTTAGAGAAACATTCAGCGAAATGTTATCTCCCCCTTGTACCGCTTTGGAGACCAGAGCGGCAACGACTGATGCATGAGCACCTGATGTTAATTATCTGACTAACCGTATTTGAGGATTCATCCTCTGATCCAATAGGCAAAGCAAATAAAAAGCAAAATCTGCCAGAAGTAACTCTTCTCTGAGGAAGAGGGAGATTTTTTTCCTGTCTTTGAGGCAAGATGATGCAGTGTTTCAGCTCCTGCTCCACAACGAGGGAGCGTGGTTTTGGGCAGAATCTTGTAGTCTGCATGGGTACATGCACACACTGATGTTTGGCTGTCAGCTTGTTTCCTTCTATTTCATTGTCTTATACTGCATTACACAAGTTCACATAGTCATTTTAACATATGTTGCACAGCTATCAAAACAGCAGCTGCCTCAGCTCAGGAAATCAGTAGTGGGAGAGTTAAAAGGCTAAATAGAAACCAGTGTCCCTCATACTCACTATTCCACTCATCTTGTCCTTCGTGC